ATTTTAAGTTTATGTAGTTTGGCAGCACTGTCCTTAATTACTATTCCAAAAATGAGCGCGATCTGTCAGACAGTTCGTTTACGGCAGCTGTTGAAACCAGTTCACCTCAGTAGTGCGTTGCGAAAAAAACAATGGAAAAAAATATTGGACAAAGAGTTTGCATCAAATTTTGTGTTTCGAACGAAATTTCGTGTGCAGAATCGTTGCGAATGCTACAAAAGGCTTATGGGGAATCAGTTTTATCGAAAACTCAAGTTTATGAGTGGTACAAAGCCTTTCAGGACGGTCGTACGACCGTCGAAGACATTTCGCAACGCACTACTGAGGGGAACTGGTTTCAACAGCTGCCGTAAACGAACTGTCTGACAGATCGCGCTCATTTTTGGCATAGTAATTAAGGACAGTGCTGCCAAACTACATAAACTTAAAATATCGAAAAATATACAGCGCGCGAATTTTAAATGAGAATTTCCGAAAACTTTTCAGTCTTAATGTATCTTAATAGAAATAAATCAGCAAATCCAAAAAATGTACGAGGAACTTGAACCCGGTCATATAAATGTGCAAACATAAACAAATTTTTACTGTCTAGCCAGACTGAATCATAACGCATAAGATGAGTTGATGTTAAACCAGACAAAAGTACAAAGAAGCGCCACGCTTATACAAACGAAATACCCAACTGGTATGATGTTCAGTTCAAACCTATATGTGAGTCCACCAATTGTGGAAAATAATTGTGAACCCTATGAAATAAGAGTAGCCAATCAGATAAGAAATTAGTAATTTGAAAAAGTTAATATTTACACTATCATGAACGTGAGGTGAATTTGACGACAACATGAACTGATAGTTCAGTTAACACTATTATGAATTATCAGGAAGATTGAAATTTGTTTTATTTTGTGTAAATATATAAATTACTTGTGTGTAGTAGTGCATAGCACAGAAATTCAAAGTATTCACAAACACCAAAATATAATATTGTATATGTTTGCGTGTCAACCTGAAAAAAGCAGCAAATTTCGTTGTTTGAAATTCATGAACTAACACCACCCTCTCTTCCCTCTCTCATCTAAGTTTTCAAGTTCATGTTACGTTCATGATGGTGTAAATTGCGCCATTAAATACATCATATCATTGATATGAAAACATATAAAATTGAATTATACAATAATTTTTGCAAGTTTTCCACTAATGAAAAAAGCATCCTGTGAAAAAATTAAATAAAAAAATAAAAACCTTGATATTATAAAGGATACAACAGTACTTGCTTCAGTTAAACATAATATAGATGAACATTCTGTAAATGGTATATATCTTATTAATTTTAAAAACAATTTAACAATATGTGGCACACGAGTCTTTCACCGTCTCCGTTGCGCAACGGTAGCGCGTCTGACTCCAGATCAGAAGGTTGTACGTTCAAATCACGTCGGGGTCACCAGATATGGATAACATAACTTGTGTAAATCCAATGACCGTTATTAATAATAATTTAAAAATTAGTGATCCAAATAATTTTTAAATTGAAATTTTTGTAGAAAATTATAGCGACGAATTAAAGTTCTAAAATATTAATATATTTTCAACATCTGTATACGTAACATCAAAATTTATTTACTACTTTAACAATTAATAATACTATAAAAAAATTTTCTTAATAAAGAAATAAATGAAGAACAAATAAAACTGCACGGCACGAAAACCCGACCGATCACCATGCTTGCTCACACACGAAGCAACAAAAACTTGCCAACAGATAAAAAGAAGCTCACACACAATGGTTGCCAGATTGATATATGTAATTTTAAACATTTCTCCCACCTAGACGTGGAGATATGACCGGATCTTTCGTCTATATTACTCGTTCGCTTCAGGACGTCCTTCAATGTCGATTGGTAAAACAGAAATCTAGGTGATGGGCCGTTTCACAATGGCTGACTATGTTTAGATGGTTACAACACGAACAGCACCGTTCATGTCAGGATGAACTTGGATAATGCGGCCAAACAACCAGGAGCTTGGAGGCAGTCGTTCATCTCGAATTAGGCACAGTTGAGCGGCTGCGACAATTCTTTGTCTCTTATTTCATTTGTTTCTAGCATGTAATTGTGTTAAATATTCTTGGGACCAACGGCGTGAAAAGTCTTGATACATCTGACTCAACATTTTCCATCAAAATAGTACACCAATCTTTGTATTTAGCTAATTAGATTCAGGTACGGCAGATGGCGATCATCCAATTAAAAAATGTTCTGGTGTTAACGCTGATAAGTCCTTGGGGTCGTCAGATAGAGCCGTAAGCGGCCGCGAGTTTAAACAATTTTCGACTTGTTTTAGTAACGTGTAAAATTCTTCAAAAGTTAAAGTTACCGTGTTTACTACACGTTAAAAATGAAATTTCATGCTTTTTACTCCCGCCTCCCATAGGCCACCGAAATGAGGCACTGTGGGCGGTATAAAGTGTCAATTTATGCCGACGGTTGATACAAACACATACCCAGCTTAAATTTGTTTTCTAAATAATTTAATTTCATCTTTCATTAAAGCATCAGCATCGACAAAAGATTTACCACGATCGCGGTACATATCTGAGCATATGCCACGGACCGATACAAATCGCTTTAAAGCTGCTAGAAATGTTTCAAATGTAATATCTCTCACATATTGCAAATGAATAGCTTGTATAATAAAACATATAAATAGAACCACATACCCCTTGTAAGAACGATGGCCTCTCCCTTTTGTTGCTCTCACATTAAATGGACCATCATATTCCACGCCAGTATGCATGAATAGTTGTGATATGTTACATCGGGCTGGAGGTAAGATACCTATAATTTGTGCTTGCGGTCGACATGCTTGACGAAAACATGGAATGCATTTGTTAATCACTCTCTTCACAGCGGATCTTCCGTCAATAATCCAAAACTGCCGTCGCACATATGCTAATGTTGTTTGAGTTCCGCCATGTTCGATTATTAGCTTGATTAATAATCAACGTAGTAAAATCATGACGTTTTGGTAATATCATTGGGCATCGTTCATCTGAAGGAATATTCGCATTTTGCAGTCGTCCATTTAGACG